GAACTGGGTTCTCTTTGAGGTTCCCTCTGCTAGGAACCGGGTTCTCTTTGAGGTTCCCTCTGCTAGGAACCGGGTTCTCTTTGAGGTTCCCTCCACTGGGAACCGGGTTCTCGCTTAGGTTCCCTCTTCAGTTCTCTAAGCCCAGGTTCTATGTTCTTTCTTCATGTTGCAGAGCGAAGGTGCTGCTGGGGAACCTTGAGCCTAACAACCAGATGTTCTGTAGGGTTCCTAACAGACAGAAACCTTCTCCATCCTCAGGTTCTCCACAGAGTTCTGCTGAGAACATTTCTCCAGCAGGCCTGATAGCAGGGTTCCACGCAGCAGACGGGAAGTTCACATCCGACCGGGGCCCTGATGGTTCTGGGACCTGACAGGAGGGCGGCCGGATGGCGAACCTCCTTTTCTAGAAACCAAAGTCGGTCCAAGGTTCTTAGGAAGGTGTTCAGCTTTCCATGTTCTGGTTCTGTTCCCAGAGGGTGGTTCTGCCTCGCCGTGTGTCCCGACTGTTCCCCGCCTACGGGCTCTACCTGTACGGGGAGGGCGTCTACGCTCAGGAAACCCGGAACCTTAAACTCAGCGGAACGCCCGTCCTGTTCCTGCCGGGGAACGCAGGGAGCTACAAGCAAGGTGAGGAACCCGAGGATGTTCTCCTGCTCTGATGTTCCCCTCCCTGATGCTCTGATGTTCCTGCAGCTCGTTCTCTGGGTTCCGTGGCTCTGAGGAAGGCAGAGAACATGGAGGCCGGTCTGCATCTCAACGTCTTCACGGTGGACTTCAATGAGGAGCTGGTGGCGTTCTACGGCGGCAGTCTGCTCAGACAGACGCACTTCCTGCACGAGTGCATCAAGGCCGTCTTGCGGCTCTACAAGGTCGGTGCTGCGGTTCTGATCCGTTCTCCTGTCCACAGGTTCTGGTTTCAGCAGGTGGAACCAAAGCTTGAGAACATCAGAGATGTCAGAAGAACCTCAGTGAGAAGATGGAGAACCCAGAGAGCCGATTGGCTGATCCAGCTCCCAGTCAGAAGGTGATCTAGAACCATCATCGGGTTGTTACCATGGAGACCAGGCAGCCATATTTGGTCCAACCAATCTGAGTGAACCCGCATGAATGGAACCAGGACTGGATCAGAACCCAGAACCTTGGGTTTGTGGGTTCTGGTCCGGTTCTGGTAGCAGATCAAACTGGCAGAATGTCTGAAGGAGATGATTGGATGGAAGCCACCAGTGAACAGGCAGAATGATGCAGAGCAGAGCGGCCTCGTCAAAGTTCACACCTGAATCCAGACGTTCTTGCGTATTCTCAGATGTTCTCAGGTGTTTTCAAGTGTTCTCAGGTGTTCTTAGATGTTCTCAGGTGTTTTTGAGGTGTCAAGAGGTGTCATGAGGCGTTCTTGGGTGTCCTGAGATGTTCTCAGGTGTCCTGATGTGTTCTCAGGTGTTCTGAGATGTTCTCAGGTGTCCTGAGGTGTTCTCAGGTGTCCTGAGGTGTTCTCAGGTGTCCTGATGTGTTCTCAGGTGTTTTTGAGGTGTCAAGAGGTGTCATGAGGCGTTCTCGGGTGTCCTGAGATGTTCTCAGGTGTCCTGAGGTGTTCTCAGGTGTCCTGATATGTTCTCAGGTGTTCTAAGGTGTTCGCCATTGTTCTCAGGGGTTCTGAGGTGTCATGAGGTGTTCTCAGGTGTTCTTGTGTGTCCTGAGGTGTTCTCTGATGTTCTCTCATGTTCTGAGGTGTTCTCGGGTGTTCTCTCATGTCCTGAGGTGTTCTCGGATGTTCTGAGGTGTTCTCGGATGTTCTCAGGTTTACTTGTGAGTCCTGAGGTGTTCTCCGGTGTTCTCGGATGTTCTCGGTTGTTCTGAGGTGTTCCTTGTTCTCGGATGTTCTGAGGTGTTCTCGGTTGTTCTCTGATGTTCTGAGGTGTTCCTTGTTGTTCTCTGATGTTCTCCATCGAGTCACATTGAAGTTTTTAAGGAAAACCAGATGATTGGAAGGACGACGCTGATGTTGATTGTTGGTAGAAGAACCGGTTGTTGGTTCTGCTGATGGTTGTGAACCCGTCTGTTCTCCTCTAGAACCTGAAGGTTCCCCCTCGGAACGTGGCGTTGGTGGGTCACTCCATGGGGGGGGTTGTGGCCCGGGCGCTCTTCACCCTTCCTCGCTTCAACCCTCGCCTGGTCAGCCTCATCGTCACCCAGGCCTCCCCCCACGTGGCTCCGGTTCTGGCCCTGGACCCGTACCTGCTGGGTGAGTCGTCCCGGTCTGGTCCTTCTGGGCGGGATGTCAGTCGCCACGGTAACCCCTTGTTCCCCTTCCGCAGAGTTCTACGTGGCGGTCAGGCAGAAGTGGTCGACGCAGGCGCAGAAGCTCAGGAACGTCACTGTTCTGTCGGTGGGAGGCGGTTACCGTGACTACCAGGTCCGATCGGGTCTGACGTCCCTCCCCTGCCCCCCCGGAGATCCCAACAAGCTGGCGCTGGTGGTAGGCCCGGTCGGTAGCGTTTGGACCGTCGATCCGCTGCGTCTCCTTCATCTCCTCCATGTTCTGTTTCCAGGCCACCGCTGTCCCCAGAACCTGGCTCTCCACCGACCACCTCTCCATCGTTTGGTAAGCGGCCATCAGAACCGGCGCTCTGGGTCGGCCCGGTTCTGAGACGCTGAACTCCTCTCTGTTGCAGGTGCAAGGAGCTGGTTCTGGCCACGGTCCGGGCGTTGTTCGACCTCGTCGACCCTGAGACCAGACAGGTTAGTGGACCTCCGGTTCTGGTTCTGCTGGGGTTCTTGTCCTCCCAGCTGATCCCATGTTCATCAGTTGACAGACGACCCGGAGAGGAAGCGGGCCGTCCTGAACCACCACTTCGTCAGACACCCGGCGCGGACGCCGCAGGACGCCGCCGACCCGTCCGTCTCCATGCCAGGTGAGGCGGCGCAGCGTCTCGGTTCTGAAGCTTCTAGAAGCCAGAGGTTCTGGACAAGCTTGGTTGCTCCACCATCCTTCAGAACCTCTGGTACCAGAAGATGAGACGAGGTTCCCAACCGATCCAAGCAGAACCTTCCAGAGCAAAGAGGAGGTTCTGACTCGGATCGACTGCCAGAACCATACTGGATCAGTTTGGACCAGATGGTCCAACAGAGGGGTTCTGCTGAGGAACCAGGGCGGTTCTGTCCGGTTCTGTCTGTCAGTGAATCAGAGCAGAACCAGCCGGTCCATTTATGGGGTTCATGATGGGGCAGATGGAGAACCTGGATCAGAACCCACCTGATCCGGGTCAGAACCTGCAGTTGGGATCACAGGGTGAACCCAGTTTGTTTGTGGAAAAGGTCCAGGATGGGTTGGAGATACTGGACCACTCAGGCGGTTCTGGCGGCCTGGTTCTGATCGGGTTCTGCTGTTGTTGTTCCAGATGTTCCTGAAGCCTGGAGTGAAGTCAACACCTTACGTCTGTCCTACAGAACCCCCAAGGTACCGGATCTTCCACGCAGACAGAACCTGGCGGTAGGTCCTGTCGGTGTCGGTTCTGATGGGTTCTGTGCTCCGATTGACAGGAAGGACAGCTGAAGTACTTCCTGTTCGCTCTGTCCAGCCGCCGCCGCGCCTACAGCCACTTCTACTGCCGCTCCAGCAGCCTGGTGGGTTCTACAGCCAGAGGTTCTGGTTCTGGGACCTGCTCAAGGACTTGGGTCTGCTGACCTTCCAGCAGGTTCTGGTTCTGGTTCTGGTTCTCCTGACACTCTGTCTGTGTTCAACAGGAGTCAAGCAGCTGGGTCCTGGGCTGCGTCCGCACCGCCGGGTCCTCATGGTAACTACTGGTTCTGCTCGGTGTTCTGGTTCTGATCGGTGTTCTGGTTCTGATCGGTGTTCTGGTTCTGATCGTGTTCTGGTTCTGCTCAGTGTTCTGGTTCTGCTCAGTGTTCTGGTTCTGATCGGTGTTCTGGTTCTGCTCAGATGGTTCTGCTCTTCTCTGATGTTCTACTGTCCCTCTGTCCTCATGTCTCCCTGTCTGTCCTCAGTGCCAGCGCCGTGGATCTCTCCTCGGGGACCGAGCTCCTGCCTCCATATAAGGTGATGATCCATAGAAAATCCCGGTCCGGTTCTGGTCTGGTTCCGGTCCGGTCTGACTCACCTTGTCTTCTGTCCCAGGTTCTGGTTCTGAGTCTCAGCGACTTGTCGTCTTTCACTCACCTGGTGGTTTCTGCCTCCAACCTCAGCGGTAAACAGGTGAGTGAGGTTCTGCTAACGGGTCGGGTTCTGACCCGTTCTGTTGACGGTTCTGTCTGTTCTCCAGTTCACGGTGGAGTGCGAGTGGCAGAGAGAAGCGGCTCAGACTCTCTCCGTCTCCGTGCCTCATCTCCTCTCCTTTGGTGAGTCTGTGTCCAAACGAGGAAAGTTTAGTGGAAGGAAGATCTGAGGCGGATTATAGAACCAGGACATTTAGAAGTTGTGTCCTGCAGGACCACCAGAACCTAGCTGCCCCCTCAGACACTTCTGAACCAGAACCAGAACCGGTCTATAGATCCGTCTATAGATCCGTCCATGGACCCGTCTATAGATCCGTCTATAGATCCGTCC